GACCCAACATCTTTATTTGTATGTGGTGCTGAGGATCGAACCCAGCGCCCTGCACATGCCAGGCAAGCGCACTACTGCTTGAGCCACATCCCCAGCCTTAGCCTAGTGTTTTATCAAAATAAATTAGCCGACATTTAGTTGGCTAGGCGTATTTTCTTAAAAAAAAAAAAAGTGGACCACCTGTTAGAATGGACTTTCATTTTTGTTACAAAAACAAGTCTGTTAACATAAATCATAAACCCAGAAAACCTGGCCAGGTCCAGCAACCTAGCCCAATATCCAGCGGTGTGACCTGCTGCAGCGCAACAGCTGGCGCACCGCCTTGCTCACTGCGTCCTTCTGGCAGGTTGGTGTTGACTGCAAGAACCGTTGAAGATTTCCATTATCACTTCTGCCAAGAGCCACGTAAGATTGGGAAAGAAATCTAGAGCTATTAATATCCCAGTGCCTTAAGCCTTTCACAGTTATCTTGCTCCTCCAGCATAGGGGAAGACTCCTGCTCCGCCTCACTCCATCTTTCTTCTTACCTAAGATGCACGTGGTAACTTAGCGCTCGCGTGCACACACACAAAGTGCCTAAGGTCATCTCCTCACAAGATCCATGGTCTCAGTGACAAAATTTCAGTCTAAATCTTTAGGGAAGTAAACTTTTGCCCAAATTCCTTACATGCGTTTTTCTCTCCTTATCTCTCTTTCAGGCAGCAGCTGTGTTTTTCTGCAGAGTTTTGCACAGAGTCTGTTCCCATGCAAACTAATGAGGGAGAAGTGTCGGAAGAAAGCAGTTCCAAGGTCAGTAACGTACCTACAATATTAAGAATTTGAGTAGAAATTCAATAGTAGAGGTAGTGGATGAATAGAGTGGGTGTTGTGTTTTAGGTGAATTTATAAATTAGATTGATTTAAATTAGAACCTAACCTAGATCTGGAAAGATTTTTTTTCTTCTCAGTATCTGTTTTTGTTATTCTTTTTTTTTTTCTTTTAAGAGGAGGAAAAGTTTATTTGGGGGCTCATGTTCTTGTTATTCTGTGTGATAAATTTAAAACAAATTTGACTGGAACTTTATGATTCACTATTAGAATATCATTTTATCTTTTCACTTTTTTTTTTACAGTTATTACATTCTTTTTTTATTGGTTGTTCACAACATTACAAAGCTCTTGACATATCATATATCATACATTAGATTGAAGTGGGTTATGAACTCCCAAT